CAGCTCATTGTGGACCACAGCGATAGCGAAGAGGATGTTGCGTAGGGCGCCACGTTGGGGATCTGCGCGCCCAGCCAACACGTCGGGTGCACACCTTGGGCTGGGCCACAGGGCGTGAGCACCAGGCAGCTCCCCATCGTCGGTGCCAGTCCTGTCATTCATGCCCCCCCCTGCCGGCGCCGGCGCGCCCGGCGGCAGCCTTCGAGGCCTGCGGGGGGATCCCTGTTTTCATCACGCGGCAACTTGTTGCGCGTGTCGGAAAACAGGGTCCGCGTCAGGCTTGGGGCCATGTAGTGAAGTGAGGGGTTGAATGGCTGCAGCAGCATGGGGATGAGAGTGAGTAGAATGTTGAGCACGCGAGCCTTCGGGTCAAGGTCCGGGGGGGCCTTCAGCATTTGTTGGCCCACCCTCCCGCCCAACGCCTCGTCGGCGGTGCCCGCACGGGGCCGCTTGTTTGTCGCACGTGTGAAGAATGTATTTTAAAAAGTGTGTTGTGCTCGAATGCGCACGCGTGGCGCGAGCGAATGCATGGCGCGTCCAGGGTTCCATCCCCTGTCCGCCGAGTCCGGTCCTGGGGTGCACACCTTGGGCTGGGCCACAGGGCGTGAGCACCAGGCGGCTCCCCAAAGTCGGTGCCAGTCCTGTCATTCATGCCCCCCCCTGCCGGCGCCGGCGCGCCCGGCGGATGCCTTCGAGGCCTGCGGGGGGATCCTTGTTTTCCATCGTCGCTCTCATGGCTTCCCGACGACGACGACGACGACGACGACGACGACGACGACGATCGCCGATCGCCGATCGCCGATCGCCGATCGCCGATCGCCGATCGCCGACGCCGACGACGCCGACGACGACGGCCCCCCGCAGGCTGCCATTGGCTCCCGGGCCCCCCCGCCGCTGCGCGCCCGCCGCGCCGGCGGCGCCCGTCGCCCGGGCCGCAGCGCGCGCCGTGCCGCGGGGCGTGCCGGCGTGCCCGGCGGCGCGCGGCGCCGCAGGAGGGGGCGGGGCGGCTCCACGCGCTGGTCGTCGGGAGCGGGCAGAGTCAGCCCTTGGCATCGCTTGGACGTGTGCATTTTTTCCCGGCGAGAACCATCGAGGACCATCCTCGACCAACGAGCAAAAGAAACACGCACGAAACCGAGAAATGCTCGGGAAGTGGACGTCCGAGCGACGGCGAGAGCCCTCACAGGGAGGACTGGCAACTTTCCCAAGGGTGCCGTGGCAGCCTTGCTCCTTCATCGGCCCATGCTTTGGGGACCTTCGTTGGCCAGCCTCGTTCGAAAAACGTTCACGTGGGCCCAAGAGGCCTTTTGCATTCTTACCTCGCATCTCTTACATAGAAACGAGAGCCATAGACATATATGTGTATATATATATATATATGTATATATACACATAGATATATGTATGGACAGCCCCCCCCCCGCACCCACTCTTTGCTGTCAAGAAACGACCCAGGATGAAAAACCGGTCCCGGGGAAAGGGTCGAGACTGCCATCAGGACGTCGCATGTCTGGGATGGCGTCGACCCATTCCCCGGGACCAGCTTCTCATCCTCGAGTCGTTCCTTGACGGTTCCGAGGCCCGGGAAGGGCTCCTAAGAGAGTCCAAAGACGAGGAACGAACAAAAAGAAGCGTCCCGAGCTTTCCGAGACGCCCGATGCCTTTCCGAGACGCGCGAAGCCCATGCCAAGAAACACCTTGCTTGCCTCCAGGGTGCCTTGGATTTCTTGGGTTTCGGCGGTTTTGCTGTGGAACCGTGCCGTACCCACACCAAAAGTCAAGGGACGTTCTAGGGCCTAGTTCTAGGGTTGGATGTCTTGTGGAAGGTTTCCTGTGCTCGAGCTCCTGCTGTAGGCTTCGGCGGCGAGCGAGGGGGGGAAGTGAGAACAAGGGGCGGGCCCTCTCAGGAGGCTCGGGAGTCCCCCAGCCTCCTGGGAAGTTTCCAGAGCCTTCCCTGGGGACACAGAAAGCCTCTCAGAAGCCGCGCGGTCTTCTGAGAAGGCCTTACCCTTCTCACTTCCTCCCCTCCCTCCCTCGCTCGCCGCCGAAGACTGCCGCTGCGGCCTGCCGCTCGCAGTCGGCTTCGGGCTCGCTGTCGGCTCGGTCGGTCTTCGGTCCCTTGGTCGCCGTGCACGGCCTCGGGGCCAGGCATCCGTGCCAGCGCTGCACGGGACAGGGACCTCCTTCCCTTCCTCCCCCTCCTCCTCCCCTCCTCCCCTTCTTCGTCCTCCTCCTCCTCCTCCTCCTCCTCCTCCTCCTCCTCCTCCTCCCCCTCCCCCTCCTCCCCCTCCTCTTCCTCCTCCTCCTCCTCCTGCCCCCGACCCTGGAGGCGCAGAATAGGCGCCGTGGCGTCCACCTCCGGCAGGCACAAGCAAGAGGACGCCACAGCCAACCCGCATAGTAAGGATGGGCACCCTTCCCAAGGGTACCCTTGCGTCCTTGCCTCCTCGGTCCATCCTTGGCCACTTTCGCTGGCCGCGCCCCGCTCCAGAAGCTTCGAAGTGGGCGTCCAAGGCCCTTGCATCCTTATCGCGCATCCTTATGATACGGGCCGACTGTATGGGGGGCGCCGGGCGTCGGCTAGAAGGATAACCCTGCGCCGGCCACAAAACTCACACGACTAAGGAGGCGGCGGGAGTCGAGGTGCGGATCAGGGGCAGCGACAGGACGTGCTCGTAGGCTCTGTGCGGTTTCCCAGCCTCGGGGTGTCTTCAGCGGCCGCGACTCGCCGAGAGCGTTTTTCTGGTGGTGCCCCGGAGCGTCCCGAGCGGCCGCCGCAGACCCGAGGGACGGCCCGAGGACCAGACAGTGAGGCTCACCCAGGGAGGGACAGGCGCCCGGGGGGGGGCCCCTTGCGCGCCTTGGCACTCAGGGCGCCCACACGTCTGATACGTCTTGGCAGGGTACGCGAAGCGACGCACCTGGGCATTCATACGTTTGTGCTTGGCCCACGGACAACTCTGGTAGCTCGCGCCTGCCTACTCCCACCAGCAGTGTGCACTCCAAGATGGGACGCTTGAAGCTTGGGTAGAATCGTGAAGCCAGCCCCCTTGGCCTCAGCAGCAACACATGTGGCGCCTTGACTTTTGGAGCAGGCCGCCACAGATTTAGGCGAAACGTCCAAATTCTGCGTGCGTGGATCCATGCATGTGTCGATTGTGCTCGATGCTAGCTGCCGCCCCACTGCTGACCTCGGCCCCCGCACCCCCTGAGATACGTGACCTGTCCAAATCCGATGGCTCAGGTGCGGGTGGGCCACCGTGATGGCAGCCAGCACGCAGGAGCTTCCCGAAGCTGGTGCTGACCTCAGGCCTTGCACCACGCTCCGCGTCGGCGGACAGGCCCGCGAAGTGGCGCCGAGCCGGCCCACCGTGCGGGCCGCTAAGCACTGCAACTCCAGCGAGATAAGCCATTGTTGAGGATATTTCTATGGAGACTAAACGCCAAGGATGTCTCAAAACGTGCTCGGCTTGGCTTCTCTTGATCATCTCTTACTTCGAGATTATGCTGAGGTCTGTTGGGCTACTTTGATTATCTCCCCCTGAACCCCGAACTTTATTATCCCCTAGTGTTTATTCTCACGGGTTAGCGGTTAGCGAGCACGTCACAAGTCCAGGCCACAGTACGTGCTGAAGGCATGGTGGCGGCCCCTTGGAGCGCAAAAACAATCAATGCAAATCATGGCCTTGGGAGCGCGGATCAAGGGATCGTGGCGCTGGGAGCGCGAACCCAGTTTGACTGACTAAGGATTGTTGCCCTCGCAGCGCGGGACGCAGCGTAATTTACAAGGGACTGGTCTTAGGATCGCGGACGCAGTGTCATTCACTTAGGGTCATGGCCTTGTGAGCGCGGACGCAGCGTAAGTTCCAAGGGATCGTGGCCCCTGGAGCGCGGACACAGTTTAACGTACCAAGGACCGTGGCCCTGAGAGCTCGAACCCAATGTAATTCGCATACTCGGGATTATTGTGCTGGGAGCGCGGACCCAGCGTAGTTTACTAAGTATCGTGGCGTTGGGAGTTCGGTTCCAGTATAGCTTTCCAGAGGTCGTGGCTCTTGGAGCAAAAACCCAGTGATATTTCTGAGGCGTCGTGGCCCTGGGAGCGCAGATCCTGCGGAGAAGACTCACACAGCAGGGTGGGCCGTCCTCTTGGCATGACCCATTGGCAGGTCCCGTGGCAGTTCCCTGACGCGTCCATGGCACGTTCGCACGTTCCCTGATACGCCCCCTGGCATGTCCCCTGGCGCATCCCCTGGCGCGCCCCTGGCGCATCCCGTGGCGCGTCCATCGCCCTGCGCCCCATGCCGGTTCGCCCCGTTTCGGAACTGAATGGGGTCTTGAGCTTGAGCTAGGTTGAGCGCATCCCACAAGTTTCAACTACAACCAGCTCTGAGCGAACCATGCATCATACGTGCAGGCAGTTTGAGTTAAAGATCCAGATCAGTTCGGTCAAGATGCGGACGCCGAGGATGACTGGTTACACAACGCATTAGAGCGCAACACAGTTCAACACAGTGTGAAACAGCACAGTCCAGCACAGCACAGTGTGGCACAGCGCAGCGCAGCGCAGCGCATCCCTTGGCACGGTATCATCACCATGGATATCCTCAGCACGGCCACTGCCCAGTGCCCAGGTGTGGGCAGTTCTACGTGCTTTCCAAGGTTCTCGGGTCGAGCACGTCTTTCTGCACGCGCGGCATTGGCGCCGCAGCCCCCTCGTTGGGCCGGGTCTCGCCATCCAGGCCGCCGCATCGGAAGCACTTCGCTGGATCTGCCCCCTTCCGTGCAAGTGCCAGGGCACATCTGCAACCTTCTGTCTCCCTTATCAGGCTTGCGTGTGCTTCCCTACATGCACCTGCGTGGCCATTGGCGACGTACGTTGCCCCCCCCCTCTTTGTCCTCCTTATCCTCCTCCGGAGCCGTTTTGGACAAAATCGTGAGCCATTTTGGCCGAATCTGCTGCTCCTCGACTTCGCTCTCAAAAGAGACGTGCTGCAGCGATGGCGATATCCTTGCGGATCACCAAGGAGACGCAGAAGCTCGAAACAGACCCAGTGCCCAGCATTGATTGTAAAGTGGACGCTGGAAATTCTCGGTATACACGTGGCTTCGCCCTCTACACCGTAGGCGATGCTTAAGAAAACCTAAGTTTTCGGCGAGAGTCTCGATTATTCTTAATGTTTCAATGTGAATCCTAAGATTTCAATCGAAGTTCTGGTTTTTTTTCTCAGATTCTGAGACTCTGAGTTTCTTAACCCATGATTTCTTAAGCATTTCGCAGGGTGTACCGCCAGCACCCGCACTTGGCGGATTTGAGGCTCGGGAGCAGCCGGGTCGAGGGCATCTGTGCGCCTTGTGAGTGGCCATTCGGGGAGCTCCTGTGGCACTACTGGGCCATCTCGTGCTTCTGGGGATGGGTCGAGTCTATGAACAGAACACGGGACTATCGGGCCGGGCGAAAGGGGGGGATTGGGAAAGGGGGGGTTACGAAATTTGCTGCGTGCAGCTGGTTTCGGCCTCACCGAGGGGCCCATTCCTCGATACATGGCCGCCTCCGGCGCCGGGAGGCGCCGGGAAAATCAGCTACGTGAGCTGATTCTCAAACCCCCCTTTGCTATCCCCCCCTTTCGCCCGACCCGATAGTGGCCATTCGGGGAGCTCCTGTGGCATTACTGGGCCATCTCGTGCTTCTGGGGATGGGTCGAGTCTATGAACAGAACACGGGACTATCGGGCCGGGCGAAAGGGGGGGATTGGGAAAGGGGGGGTTACGAAATTTGCTGCATGCAGCTGGTTTCGGCCTCACCGAGGGGCCCATTCCTCGATACATGGCCGCCTCCGGCGCCGGGAGGCGCCGGGAAAATCAGCTGCGTGAGCTGATTCTCAAACCCCCCCTTTGCTATCCCCCCCTTTCGCCCGACCCGAGACTAACAATTGTGGTGCTTGCATTCGCGCCTTCTGTTCGTTAATGTTGTGGGGATTCTCTGGCGTTGTTGGGCCCTCTCGAGCTGCTGGGAGGAGCACGCCGTCGCAGGCCGGTGGCCCCACATGGGGATCCGGGTGGATTTCCACATCGTGCTGGAAGGTCCCGATGGCACGCCCTATGCTCGTGGACACTACAGCATGGAGCTCTTCCTCCCCGAGGGCTACCCGATGGAGCCTCCCAAGGTGCGCTTCCTGACGAAGATCTACCATCCGAACATCGACAAGCTCGGGCGCATCTGCCTGGACGTGCTGAAGGACAAGTGGAGCCCGGCTCTGCAGATCAGGACCGTCCTGCTCAGCATCCAGGCCCTGCTCTCCGCCCCGGAGCCGAGCGACCCTCTCGACACGGGCGTCGCTGACCACTTCATCAGGGACCGCAAGGGGGCCGAGGAACAGGCGGCACAGTGGAACGGCACGTATGCCAAGAAGGAGAAGGACTGAGTATCCCCATGCGGGCCCCGCCTTTTCGTGCCACACGGCAATCACAATCACGAGCACCCCCAGCATGAGCCAATGGGGGCTCGTGCCCACTCCTTGTCTGCAGGGCTGGTGGCTAGCTGAGGCAGAATGATGTCCTCCAACGGTCGTGCAATGGGATGCCAGTATCTAGGGCTCCTAGATGGGGTCGGAGCAGATGGGGTCGGAGGATCGCGCCGCATCGCCGATGCATCGGGGATGCATCGGCGATGCGGGTTCGATGTGGGGCCCAGCTTTCTCCACGCCGACGTCGCCGATGCACCGCCGACGTCGCAAGTGCATCGCGGATGCATCGGCGATGCATCGCCGATGTATAAGTGCATCGCGGATGCATCGGCGATGCATCGCCGATGTATCGGCGATTTGGCGAGATCCTCCGACCCCATCTACTCGGACCCCATCTAGGAGGCATCTACAGTAGGAGCTCCCCCGCCTCATCTCTCCTCCCGTTCCTGCTCCTCCCTGCGGCGGCATTACGGATGAGGGCAGCCTCCACAGACGTCCGCAGCCCTGTGGGGCCCCGCCGGCGTGGGGCCCGCGAGTCTGAAAAGCTTGCCCGCTGCGACGTATCTCTCAAGATGGGGAGGGGGGGGCGGCGGAGAGGAGGAGGAGGAGGAGCAGGAGGAGGAGGAGGAGGAGGAGGAGGAGGAGGAGGAGGAGGAGGAGGAGGAGGGGGAGGAGGAGGAGGAGGAGGAGGAGGAGGGGGAGGGGGGAGGGGGAGGGGAGGAGGAGGGGGAGGAGGAGGAGGAGGAGGAGGAGGAGGAGGAGGAGGAGGGAGGAGGAGGAGGAGGAGGAGGAGGAGGAGAGGAGGAGGAGGGAGGAGGAGAGGAGGAGGAGGAGGAGAAGGAGGAGGAGGAGGAGGAGAAGGAGGAGGAGGAGGAGGAGGGGGAGGGGGAGGAGGAGGAGGAGGAGGAGGAGGAGGAGGAGGAGAAGGAGGAGGAGGAGGCCAGGGCTCGGGCTCGAGCTCGAGGAGGATCCCAGACCGTGGAGGCCCCCCTCCAGCGGCGCGGGAGCGGCGTCGGAGGCGGGCAGCCGCCGCACGGGCGGCCCCTGGAGGAAGAGGCGTGCAGAGTTAAGTCGGGCCTGTCCCCCTACCAGGGCTCGTTTCGATTGTTCCGATTCGAATCGATTCGACTTCGTTGGTTTCCGATTTCGATTCGATTCGATTTGGGTTTCCGATGTGGGCTCCGATATTTCATTGGAGGCACACTAGCCTCCCGATTTCCGCCGATTCGATGTTTCCCGATTCGGCAGCCGATTTCCGCCGATCCGATCTATTTCGATCGCCGATCCGACTTATCGATTCGATTCTGGGGTCGCCTGCCCTACAGGGGGACTTTCGACGAAAAGTAAAGCACACCCCCAAACTAATCCAAACAAAAATCCAACAATAGTCTGGGGACTATGTTTTGAATACGTGTTGACCTTTTTTTTGTGTTTTTGTATTTTCTATGTTTCGCCATCACAAGAGTGACTAAAGCTGAGCTCAGACTTTGGGAAGCTCGCCGCGAGAAACGATCGAGATGCTCGCGGCGCGTCTTCGATGTGGATAAAACGCATGGCTTTGCTAGACCTCTGAGCTGGTCTTGCACAGCTGCTGACCCTCATCATCCGTCGCCGCACGGGCGGCCCCTGGGGGAGGAGGCGTGCAGAGGCGGAACGGCTGCTGGCCATCAGCCGCTGGCCACCTCCCTTCTCTCATGCTTTCCTCCCATGCACTCCTCTGCGGCTGCAGCAGTTGTCAGCTGGGCCCCACTAGGCTCGCGGTGTGCTCGTGGACCGTGCGGGCTGAGAGCGCAGCTGAGCTGGAAGCCGAGGTTCCTGGAAGTCGGGGAAGTGGAGGCGTCGTGGGCAGACCCCGATGACGAGCGAACAACACACACCCATACCAATAAGGGGGACGGAAAGGGCCATGGGTGCTTGTTATCGAATGGGGGTCCCCGCTCGAACGGAAGCCTCCCCCCGTGGTCCGACAACCCGCACCCATAGCCATAGCCAGCCCTCGTCTGCTCAACACCCCTTATGTGTGTGTTTGTGTGTTTGTGTGGTTGCTTGTGTGTGGTTGTGTGTTTGTGTGTATGGTTGTGTGCGTGTTTGTGTGTGTGTGTTTGTGTGTGGCGTTGTGTGTTTGTGTGTGTTAGTGTGTGTGTTGTGTGTGTGTTTTTGTGTGCGGTGCTTGTGTTTGTGGGTGTGGTTGTGTATGTTCGTGTGTGTTTGTGTGTATGTTGGTGTGTGTGTGCGGGTTTGCCTGTGTGTGTGTTTGTGTGTGCGTGTGGTTGTGTGTTTGTATGTGTGCGTGTTTGTGTGAGTTTGCGTGTGGTTGTGTGTGTGTTTGTGTGTGATTGTGTGTGGGTCCGTGTGTGTTTGCGTTTGTGTTTGCGTTTGTGTGTGTGTTTGTGTGTGTGTTTGTGTGTGTTTGTGTATGGGTGTGTGTTTGTGTGTGTGTTTGTGTTCGTGTGTATGTGTGTGTGTGTGTGTTTGTGCGTGTGTTTGTGTCTGGGTGTGTCTGTGTGCTGTTGTCACTGTGCTTGTGTGCGTTTGTGTGTGTGCGTGTGTGTCCGTGTGGCTGTGTGCATGTATGTAATTGTGTGTGGTTGTGTGTGTTTGTGCTATTGTGTGTGTTTGTGTGTGTGTTTGTGTGTTTGTCAGGGTGTGCATGTGTGTGTTGACTTTGTGTAGTTGTGTGTTTGTTGGTTTTTGTGAGTGTATGTTTCTTTGTGTGTTTGTTTATGTGTGATTGCATGTACGTGTCATGGTTTGTGTGTGTGTTTCTGTGTGTGAGGTTGTGTGTCTTTGTGTGTGTGTCCTTGTGTGTGGGGTTGTGTGTGTTTGTGTGTATGTTTGTGCGTGGTTGTGTGTGTTCGTGTTTGTGTGTAATTGTGTTTGTGTTTATGTGCGTGTGAGTTTGCGTGTGGTTGTGTGTGTTTGTGTTTGTGTGTGTGTGTTTGTTTGTTTGTGTTTGTGTGTTTGTGTGTGTGTTTGTTTGTGTGTGTGTTTGTTTGTGTGTGTGTTTGCGTGTGTTTGTGTGTGCGTGTGTGTTTGTGTTTTTGTGTGTTGCTGAGTTTGTGTGTGTTTTTGCGTGTGTGTTTGTGTGAGTGTGTGTTTTTGTATGTTCGTTCTTGTTTGTGTGTGTTTGTATGTGTTTTTGTGTGCTGCGTGTGTGCTTGTAGCTTGTGTGTGTGTGTTTGTGTTTGTGTGTGTTTGTGTGTGTGCGTGTTTGTGTGTGTGTGTGTTTGTTTGTGTGTTTGTGTGTGTTTCCTTATGTTTGCGTGTTTGTGTGCTTGCATGTTTGCGTGGTTGTGGGCGTGTGTGGTTCGTTATGTTTGCGTGTGTGTATTTATGTGTATGTGTGTGTATGTGTTTGTGTGTTTGTGTGCGCGTTTGTGTGTATTTGTTTGTTGATCTGTTTGTTTGCTCGGTGTGTTTGCTTGCTTTTGAGTGTTTGTGTGTGTTTGTGTGTTTGCGTGTTCGTGTGTGTTTGTGCAGTTGTTTGCTTGTGTGTGTTTGTGTGTGTGTTTGTGTGTGTGTGTTTGTGTGCGCTCGTGTTTGTGTGTGTTTGTGTGTTTGTGTTTGTGTGTGTGTTTGTGTGTTTGTTTGGTTGTGTGTGTATGTGTTTGCGTGTGTGTTTGTGTGTGTTTGTGTGTTGGTTTGCTTGTGTGTGTTTGTAGGTGTTGTGTGTGTGTGTTTGTGTGTATGTTTTCGTGTGTGTGTGTTTGTGTGTTTGTGTGGGTGTTTGTGTGTTTGTGTGTCTGTTTGTCTGTTTGTGTGTGTGTTCTGCGTGTGCTTGTTTGTGAGTGTGCGCTTGTGTGTTTGTGTGTGTGTTTTTTTGTGCTTGTGTGTTTGCGTCTGTTTGTGTGTGTGCGTGTTCGTGTTAATATGTGTTTGTATGTGTTTGTTTGCTTGGGTGTGTTTGTGTGTGTGTGTTCGTTTTTGTGTGTGTGTGTGTTTGTGTTTGTGTGTTTGGGAGTGGGCGTGTTTTAGTGTGCTTGTGTGTGTGGTTGGTTGTGCTTTTTGGTGTGTTTGTGTGGAGGTTTGTGTGTGTTTATGTGTGTTGGTGTGTGCTTGTGTGTGTGCTTGTGTGTTTGTGCGTGGTTTTGTGTTTGTTGGCTGCGTGTGTGTGTTTGTGTGTGTGTCTGTTTGTGTGTGTTTGTCCGGTCGTCACCCGAGGCGTCCAAGGTGTGGTTCGGTGGGCAGCCCGTGGCGGGTTGCGGCCGGCGTGCCGCCGCTTGCCGCGGAGTAGGACAGGGAGGAGGAAAAGGAGGAGGAGGAGGAGGAGGAGAAGGAGGAGGAGGAGGAGGAGGAGGAGGGGGAGGAGGAGGAGGAGGAGGAGGAGGAGGAGGGGTGGAGGAGGAGGAGGAGGAGGAAAATGAGGTGGGGGGGAGGAGGAGGAGGAGGAGGAGGAGGAGGAGGAGGAGGAGGAGGAGGAGGAGGAGGAGGAGGAGGAGGAGGAGGAGGAGGAGGAGGAGGAGGAGGAGGAGGAGGAGGAGGAGGAGGAGGAGGAGGAGGAGGAGGAGGAGGAGGAGGCGGAAAACTAGGAAAAGGAGGGTAAGGAAGGGGAGGGCGAGGGTGAGCAGGAGAAGGGGCCACGCGGAGGAGGCGGAGGCCGGAGGCTGGAGGGAGGGAGGGCGGGCGAGCGAGGTGCCTGGGCTCGCGCCTCTCGCGGCCGCACGGCGCCGCCGAGCCCCGCGGGGCCTCCTTCGAGCCGAGCGCGGTGCCTCTGAAGATCCAGATCGGTGGGCCGACGACGACGACGACGACGACGACGACGACGACGACGGCGGCGACGGCGACGACGACGACGGACGACAGACGACGACAACGACGACGGACGACGACGATGGCGGCGACGGTGGCGGCGACGACGACGACGACGACGACGACGGCGGCGACGACGACGACGGACGGCGGACGACAGACGACGACAACGACGACGGACGACGACGATGGCGGCGACGGTGGCGGCG